AAAAGGCCCAAAAACAAAAGAAATAATATTTTGAATATTAATTTTTCTGAATCATGAGTTTGGTCGTTTTGATCGTCTCCGTCTTCGTTGTTTCTGTCAATACCCTAATCGGTGAAGCTGGTGATGCTCCATTTTATCAGAACTACAAGATCTTATACGGAGAAAACAGAGTCCAGCTTCTTGACCAACAAAGAGAGATTCAACTCTCCATGGATAATTACTCTGGTAATATACATACATACATACATACATACATACATACATACATACATACATACATACATATACATGTAAATACACTGACATATATGTATTTTGTAATATACTGATGTGTGTGTATATAATATTTTATATATAAATTGAAGGTTCTGGGTTTGAATCTATACAAAATTACAAGTCTGGAGTGTTCGAAATAACGATGAAGATACCAGGAAACGATTCCACTGGAGTCGTCACAACTTTCTACGTAACATCCTTACCATCTTTAATTTCTTCTTTTAAATATATATATATATATATATTTTATAAATTTTATGATTATATAATATTTTATATTTTTATTTTACTTTACATACAAAAATATTATGTTATTTTATTTAATTATCAAAATATTTCTTAGGTTAATATTCTATTAAATAAATTATTAAATTCGTCTTATAAATATATTATTTATTATAATTTGATTCGTAACGTTTTTTATTTATTTCAAACGTTGGGTTTATTTATATTATTTAATTTAAAAAATAACTTATTTTATTAATTAATTAATCAAAAAATCAATCTTTTAATATATTTTTTAAAACATTTTAGCTTTTTTTGTTATAAAATATAAGAAAATTAGACTCCTTAATTTCTTTGATTGGTCAATTATACAGTAAGTATGTTAAATTATTATTATTATATGATTGACTGATTATACATGTTTAAATATTTAAACAGTGATTAATAGAATAAGGTAAAGTAATAATCACATTTTATATCAAATAAATTAACAATATAAATATATAGCTATACCTAATTTTCAAAAATTGCCCACATATTATATATTATATATATATATAGGATTGATAAAATATAATTAATTTAACATAATAAAATTATCTTTGGTGGCTGCAGTTGAGTTCAGACCCAAAAGGTGGTGGCAGCCATGACGAATTGGATTTTGAGTTTCTTGGGAGGAAGACGAAGCCTTATGTGCTACAAACAAACATATTTGCAAATGATGGAGGAGGTCGAGAACAAAGGATTCTTCTCTGGTTCGATCCCACTGCAAATTTCCACTCTTACAAATTTCTTTGGAACCAACACCAAATTGTGTAAGCATACATGTCTATTCTCCCTTGATGCTTTACTACTATCCCACGTACATGCATAATACATACATACATATATATATATACACACATATATAACATTAAGACATAAGTAAACTATAGTTGAAACTTTGCATCGAATAAAAAATAACCCATCTAGGGATGTTAAATAAGTCGCAAAATCTAAAATCTAAAATTTTGCCCGAATAACATTTATTTTGCTCCGACTAGATTAAAGCGAAGGAGTTGTACGATTTAGTTAGTCCGACTCAATTAGTGATAAATATATTTGTTTGTAAAAAAAATATTTAAAAAATAAAAAGATTAATTAATCTATCCTACCCAAATTAAAATAAAATCATCTGTATAAGTCAAATTATATTTTTCATACTTTTTTGTATAAAATATACATTATAATTAATGTATATATATTATCATTTCTAATTTATTTTGAATCATTTCAAAATATTTAACCGAATAAAATTAGATAACCCATTATTTTAATATCATCCTAAGTATATAGTCCGTAACTTAGTTATATGCTAATATTTGTATTATTATATATGAGATTATAAGTTTAAGTCAAACTATATTTTTTATATTTTCTGTATCATAATTAATATATATATGTATAACTCTTTATACCAAAAAAAAAATATAGAAGGATGCATATATATATATTATCAAATCTTAATGATCATGAGATTGGTGAAAGTATATTTATGTATAAGAGATATATATATATATATATATACATATACAAAAACTGCAGGTTCTTTGTAGATAATATCCCCATAAGAATATTCAAGAACATGAGAAAGATAGGAGTGAATTACCCAAGAGAAGCAATGAAGGTAAGAGGTACAGTATGGACAGCAGACTGGGTGTCTAATGGAAAGCCAGTGAATTGGACAAATCAACCCTTCAAAGCTCATTACAGAGGATTCGGAATCCAAAATCAAGCCTGCCCTGATCATAAAAACCATGACTGCCATTCTCAAAATTACTGGTGGAATAAAGAGAACTACTGGGATTTGACCTATGATCATAAGATTGCTTATAGAAATGTTAGAAATAAGTACATGGTTTATGATTATTGCACTACTCATCACTCCTCTATAACTTATTTAGAATGCCCATTCAACCAATAGACCTTACACACACACACATACATATACATATATATATGTAGAGGTGACTAAATAGGCTAGTTATCGAATTTGGATTCTTTTTTTTTTTTTTTTTTTATGACAGACACGACGATCAAATTTTGATTCTCGAATTTTTCGAATAAAACATTAATATTAATCCGCTCCTGAGTTCGGATTGTAATTTTGATTCAATTCAAGAAAAAATCTATTTATTTATGGTTTTAAGACCAATAATTTTAGTGGTCTGACTCACTTCTTTCAAATTATTTCTCATTATTAAGAAAAGGTAACGAAGATAAACTACGAGCTTGTTTTATAGCAATAGTAATTAATCGATGTTGTTTTAAGGTCAATCTATTCACCCGCATAGATAATATTTTTCCTTATTCACTAATAAATCGACTAATTAAACTCATGTTTCTATAATCAATTCGATCCCCCGATTGAATCGGGGGCAAATGCCTACGAAAAGATCGTTTGGATTTAGTAAATAAGTTAATCATTCTTTAAATAATAAGTGTATTAGTTGATTTCAATGCAAATTTCTTCAAACACAAGAAAGGATCTTCCTATCATACTTCTGCTTTTCCTTCACAAAGCTTGCATCAACTCAAACTTTAATTAGTTAAAAAGGCATTGCGGTGAATAACAATACGAGATTATGACTTTCTTTCTTTTTTTTTTAGTTAATGTTATTTTCATGAACTAAATAATATTATATACGTGTATATATATAGATATAATTGAAATATTGTATATGTATCACGAGTTAATAATGATTCATTAATAATATTTGATTCAATTATAAATGTATAATGAATTAGTAATAGTTGATTTATGATATTTAATTTAATTTTTAAGTATATTATAAATTAGTAGTGACTGATCTATAATTATTGACTCAGTAAAATTAATAACTTAAATTTATTAACGTGTTAGTGAAATTAATATATTATGGCCGTATAGTTTCCTAATTAGTATTTTAATTCATTATATATATATATATATACATATGGGACATGTAATCTAATTGGTCTTGTACTTGGAACCGTGAAAGGTCTCCAAATTAAGCTTCAGCCTGAAGCGTCGTCGTTTAGTTGGTTGATTTCCTATTCATGACCTAACTAACAATATGACGTTCCTCTTAACACATGCTTGTTATAAAGTCAAACAAACTAAGATAAGGATGTTTGATTTTCGTTAATTTTTGACAAATTTATATTTATTTATATATATATATATATATATTTTTTAATTAACTTATAAAATCTATATAAATAATTTGTTAAAATAACATTTAAAAATTGAAAATTTGATAAAATTACTAAAAACACTTGGAAAAATAAAACATATAATTTGAATTTGAATAAAATTAAAATCTTTTATTCACTTATTTTTAAGAATTTATAACTTTCATTAACTTATAAATACTATTTACTCGTAAGCTTCTTAATATACATAATTGGGTTTGATTAGTCAATAATTGTGATAATTAATAATTAATTAATCAAATACGAAGTGAAAATTGTAAGCATGCTTACTATTTTGGTTAGATAACGGATTCAACAAGAAATACTTTGAAAGTGGATGGTCAACAACTCTTTGGTCACCTTTTTTTATCCTACAAACAAGGCTTGGTAATTTGTATATTATATTTAGAATTTGACTTTCTTTAATTCATTTTATTATATATAATATACGGTTTCGGGTTATTTTATTTCGTGTTTGTAAATAAAATTTTTATAATTTTATTAATTAAATAATATTATATATCAATAATATCACGAATACCATAACATATTAGTTTTTTGATGATAACACGTAAAATTTAAAATATTTGAATTAATATTCTTATAGAAAGAGACAAAAAATCAATTATTCATATTGTTATTCTCATAATTTAACTATGTTTTTAAATTATAGTACATTATATGAGACTCTAATATAATATGATCATAATTTATAGAACATATGCTAAGTTTGATATAAATTATAATTGTATAGTATACAAGTAAAAATACAATAAGAATTTAAATACTGAGAGCAATCTAATTCAACACATTTTAAAAAATAATTATATATTTAACTTAAGTTAAATGTTTTCCAATTTCTTAATTGATATATGGAAATTTATTTTTTTTGTGATTCTAAAAGGAAATTAGAAACCAAATCAACTTAATTATGTAAATTATAATTAAATCACACACACACACATATATATATATATATCGTTGAAATTTTATAAATTGGATTAAAGTATCATATTGTTTGTGGAACTATTAAAAAAAACAAAAAACAAAAAACAAGAGGAGAAATGAAGGAGTAAGAAAAATGGAAGCATGAGAGGGAGATTTAATCAGAAAGTTTGGTGCAAAAGTACATGTAAATCCTTGCTGCATTCTTGTGATGTATCAACAGAAAGCACTCCCAAAGACAATTACAAATCTCCAAACAATCCCTTAATTAATCTTCTCCCTTTCATTATAAATTCACTTCACTTCCTTCCCTTCTCATCCCTTAATCAACTATTAATCCCTTAATTAATCATCATTCCCATCTTCTTCTTCTTCAAATTTTTCTTTTTGATTTTAATTCTCAAGTGGGTTTTTCTTCCCCATCATATCACAGGCCTTGCATGGAGAAAACACACACAAAATCTGCATTAAGGGTTGTTATACGTACATACACACACACACACACACATATATATATACATATACACACTCACACGAATAATATTCTTCTTTGATTAAGTATTTAATGGTTGTGTTTATTCTTGTTAATTAATTAATTTATTGTTTAAATTAATTTTTTTTTCTTCTTTTTTGTGTGTATGGATGTCTTCTGTTTTGAACTTTAGAAGTTTGTGAAGGCTGGTTCACAGTCTGCTGTGTCATGGAGTTCTAATGCAAGAGGAATGGTGAGATTTATTTATTTATTTATTTTAGTTTAATAATTTAGACCAATCATTTGCTGCCACGTCAACATCATGAGTGACATGGCATTCCTAGCTGTTATATATTGCTATTGACTTTTGACCGGTAGGAAGAGCTGCAACCATTTTTATCCATAATAGGAAATATTAATTTCACTAATTTTTTTTAACAGAATATATATTTTTTTAATTTTTTTCCAATTTTGGTATAATTTAAAATATATTCTTCTAATTTTGTACGAAATGTTACATGAAATTAGTTTTTATTATTTTATATAAAACTTTTATTAGTTTTTAATTCAATTAAGTGTAAATTTGACGGAGATTTTAAATAAATATGTAAAATTAATATTATTATAAAATTTATGACTAATTAAGATTAGTATATAATTATAAATTAATTGATTCAATTTTCAAAAGTTCCAATTATTAAAAAGTCCTGGCTCTGACATCTGTACCATACACGTGTATATATATTCACAGGCAAAAGATCATGAAGTGAGAGACCAAAATCCAAAGGTTAATATGGTGAAGGTACAGACTATTAATCAACGCCCGCAGTATACTATTTTCTTATCTTCCTTAAGTATACATACATATATATACGGAGTTGCCTTAAGTATATAAATTAATTATTAATTAGCATAAGATTAGTTAATAATTATTGCCTGAAAATTAAGACATGAGATTAATTTGTTAATTGCCGTTCTTAGCCTGGAAGCCCAAAGCCTCCCGCAAAAGAAAACACGAAGCCACTAGACATCAGACTCCATACCCAGCAAAGAGCTGTCAAGCGTGCCATGTTCAATTATTCGGTAAGCCTCTGTATGTATAGATACACACACACACATAAATGTATATATATATATATATATATACCTTAATTAATTTGCTTTATTAATTAATGAATATTTTTCTTACATTTATATATATACACACACACACATATACATATGTGTAAATTTACAGGTTGCAACTAAGCTTTATGTCATGGAAATACAGAAGAAGCAAGTGGAAAAATTGCAGAAGGTATATATATATATATATATATATATATATGTGTGTGTGTGTGTTAGAAAGTACTTGAAATACTTAATTAATATAATTATTACTAAAACAGTAAAAGCTTATCCAATTACTTATATATTAAAATCTATAATTAATTAATTATCAATATTGGTACATTAATTTGTGTATAAAAAATTATTCGATCGAGATGTGTCTTAAGATTACAACAACAATACGAGGGGAAAAGTCTTTCAAATATGAAAATCAGAATAATTCCATAATTTTTTAGCGATACTAAAATATCCAAATATCATCGTATTTAAATTAAAATAAAAATAAATTTATAATAAAATAAAATTCGAATTTAGTCTATTTTATTTTTAAAAATTTACACTATTTATATTTATATTAAATCAAAATATTTTTAATCTCGAATAGATGATAGAGGAGGAGGAGATTCGAATGCTGCGAAAGGAGATGGTTCCAAAAGCTCAGTTGATGCCTTTCTTTGACAGACCTTTTTTTCCACAAAGGTAAAAATAAAGCAAACCTAAGCTCTAACGGAAAAATCTTATGTAAAAATGTATTGACTTGTGAACTAAGTTTAAAGTTTGACATTTAAGAATGAGATTTAGAAATACATTTTCGTGAATTGTTTAATATCCGTTTGAAGTAGTTGTCTTTTAAGTATATAGGAAAATAAACTAATTTCGATCTATGAAAACCGATATAAGAATAAAATAATTTTTTATATACTTTAATTATATATTTTTTTATTAATTTTTTATTGTGATTTATTAATTTGGAAGGTCAACACAACCTTTGACAATTCCAAGAGAGCCTGGTTTCCGAATGCTAAACGGCAAGTGTTGGAGCTGTGTCTGTGGTGACCATCAACTATATGGATTTTGCCATGCTCATGAATAGAAGCCATTAAAAAATAAAAATACATGAGAATTAAGTAGAAAATCAGTTATGACCATCTGATTTCATATGACGGGTAATGATGATATATATGTAAAATCATAGTAAAATGATAATAGAATGTTATGAAAGTTTTGAATATCAAAAGATATGTTATAGTTGTTATTAGATATATGTTATAGTAGAAGTTTTGAGTAGCGTCATTTCATTTTATAGGTGGATTATGAATGAAATTCATGTATTATTATGCATCAGCATCTATTTTTGTTATGTTTTTAGTTTTAGTTAAAATAAATTGAATTTTGTTTTAAGATGTATTATTAAAGAATAATTCAACGAGTATATATTATTTCATAATATAATTTTTTATATATTTTTTTTATCTAATTTATTTGACTAAACAAAGTATTCAATTTACGTAATTATTGTTGTTATTAGGAAAGTTTATTATCAACTATCGCAACCATATTGAGGGGGTAAAAAATTTAAATAATCTTGAACATAACCTACAGCCCCCTACTTGAAATACTAATTAATAAAGTATCATTATAACAATATTAAATATTAAATATAAAGTATATAACTTATCTGATAAGTATATATATATATTACACATTGATGATTGCAATTGTGTAGGTATAACTATGATTACGTTGAATCATTGCTCTCGTGCAAGAATAAATTAAATTTTAAAGTGTCTGACGATAATTTGTTTATAAATAAAATGAATGTCAAGTTAAACACTAATATAATAGTTTAAGACCATGTAAGTATTATTCATATTACCGCACTAAATAGTATGACGATATACGAGGATAAATGTGAGTATCCAATACGTAGTTATAAACCAAATTTAAAAATACAAGGAATATAAAAAAATAATTCGCTCTAACTTGAAGATGGTCTTATTGAGATGATTTATTGACATGCAAACAAGTTATCATATTGGGTCGTGAACATGTTTAAAAAAATATTTACTATATAATCAAAATTGGACATAAAAAAAAGGATATTTATTGTTGTATTATAGAACTTTATTAATATAAACATGATTTGGTGATCGATGGCCGTAAAATTCAAATGTTATAGTTGGTGAATAAGTCGAGGAAAATTTCCGAAGGAAAAATTCAGAAAAAAAAGTGGACTTATGTTTGAGATAAAAAGCATTTTGATAATTATATTTATAAATATTTCACATTTTTACTGTTAGGATCAAATCCAAATTAAATTAAGATTAATTATTAATTTGATATTATTATAAGTATACAAAATGTTAATTATTTCAGTTAAAATATGAGGGCCAATTAAAATATACAACGTGATAACCCGTTGGTATTCCGGGTCGGAATTTCAATTGGACCAATTAATATATACAATGTGATAGCCCGTTTTTATTCCGGGTCGGATATTCGATTGGACCCGAGAACTAGGACGTTGGATACATTTCAAGGTTCACCTGTTAGGGTTTATTCGAAGCACTTCAATCGTTATCGAGACCTTTAGGTTTTTGTTCGTCTTCGTCGAATTCCGGTACTGGAGAAATAATTCGGTGGGTATTGACTTTTTGCAGCCAGATAATTCGCTTTGCTTTCTTTATCATTCATTCGAAAATTTCTTTGTCTCTGCTTCGTTTGTTTGATTATTTGTTACTTTGATTATTTGATTGATTTCTATGATTTTAACTGTAACATTTAACCTTATTCAGATGCTTCGAAGGCTTTTTGGGTTTATAGGGTCTTGAAATTACCTTATTTGAGCTTCGATATCTAGGTTTCGTATTTCCAATGAGCCGTTGTTTCGATCTGAGAAAACGGATTGAGTTTGTTCTTCGAAAAATTTACTTAGCTTATTGGAAATGACGAAAGTTGAAGCTTGCAAGAAGTCAACAATACAGCAAAGAGCTAGATTTAGAAGTCGCCTTACAAACTTTTAAGCGGTAGTGTTTTCGTCCTCAGCTTTCTCTATTCGATAACGGGGTTTAAGCAATTGTAATAGTTGCACATAGGTTGCAGAGTGCTTTCTAAAAGTCTTCCTAAGGGTTTTGATTGGATATATTAACTAGATATTTATTTTATTTCTTTAACAGTTTTCTGCAGCCAAAATGAAATTGTGGCTTTGTGAAATGTGTTTGATTTCTATATTCTCAAGTGTTACTATCAAATTTTGATTTCGGGTTTGTTTAAATTTATTTTTATGTTTTTTCTGGTTTTCATGCGCTTTATGATTTGTAGGATTGGGATTCTGGACGTCCTTTCAGATTCATATTATCTTGCTGGTGCTCATATTTGATGAGTGATTATGGAGATACAGACGTGTGGAAAACCAATTGATTCGCTGTTAGAGAAGGTTCTGTGCATGAATATTTTGTCTTCTGATTATTTCAAAGAGCTTTACCGACTAAAAACCTACCATGAGGTGATTGATGAAATTTACAATCAAGTTGACCATGTGGAGCCATGGATGACTGGAAATTGTCGGGGTCCTTCAACAGCATTTTGTCTTCTTTACAAGTTTTTTACCATGAAACTCACTGTCAAGCAAATGCATGGACTACTAAAGCACCCGGATTCTCCATATATAAGAGCTGTAAGTTACACCCGTTACCTATTTATTTGTGATGGCTGCAATTTATAGTAGTCTTAGAGTCAATAAAATTGGGAGGTCAGTACTTGTATCTGTTTTTATGTTGCTCCAACTCTGCAATACTTTCTCCATGTGTTGAATTCAAAGAAAACAGTATCTTTAGATATTAATGCTGCCAATGTTGTATTGTTTCTCTGGTTTATATTTTATTTTCTGCATATATCATTATAAGTTGTTAGGAACATCTGAATGGTTATTTAAGTGGGCCTGAGGCTTGAATAAAGTCATTTCAGAATGTCAGTTTCTTGAAAGAAAATCAAGATTCATATTTAATATCCATATTGATAAATCTGTAAGATTTCTCATTTTACTATATGATCTGGTAGATATCAGTAGCTATTCCTTCCGTTCAACAATGTGAAAGAAACATATGCTTTCCTCGAATCTAAATTGTTGTCATAACTTAATGAATGAAAGGTATCCACTTGAGTTTGTTCAGAAATATACAGAGCTTGCTTATTTTAGGAAGGTAATAATGATTTTTCTTTCATGGAGCACTTTTTAAAAATTTGTCATTCTTTGATATATTTTGTTATATAGGTATACAAAACATGCATGATATCATAATTCCCTTGTTTTCCATAGCAGATTTCTTCAAACAAGGTTGAAGTGTCACTGTGTCTTTGAGTTTCTGACCACATAAACTGCCCTAGCTGATATCTTCAAAATCAAGGTTTGAGGCGTCCTTTTTTCTGAGCACTGAGAATATCTTCGCCCTAGGTTACCTTTGTTTTTGTTTGGTCAAGGTGGCTATAGTGACCCCTAATCCTTTTTGTGTAGTGGCTTTCTCTACCAGTGACTACAGTCTTGGAATCACCAGAATACTTGAAATTCCAATTTCCCTATGCTCAAGATGGAATTTATATTGTCATCGTGTCTAACCATGACATCTGCATTTGCTATCTGCATATCCACTATTTGTTTGTGTATTCTTTTTGTATGGGTTTATTCGATATTCAAGAAAGATTGGAGTGCTATTTACCTATAAAAAAGTAGTGCTTTGGGTTACAGATTAGTTATGTGCTTGATTCCTAAATATTTTTTTGCAGGTTGGATTCCTTTACTTGAGATATGCTGGAGATCCAAAGACTGTGTGGACTTGGTTTGAGCCATATGTTAAAGAAGATGAGGTATGTGAAAAAAGATTTGGTACTCTTTTTAGTTGACTAACCTAGTTATTTGGTACCTCAGCCAATTATGGAGAAGCATTTGTTTCCTTCTTGTAAAGGAATGCACCTTTCCTTTCTTTCCAAAAAAGTTATCGATTATTTTCTTGCCTCAAATCTATGTTTTTGGCCTTCCAAGACCATCTCTTGTATGCCATTTGTATTTCATGGTTTATATGTTTTTACCTATGGTGATGAACTTTGGGCCTTTAATTGTTTGTGGCATATGAACAATGTGAGATTTGGAGCATAGCAACTTTAAGAGAGAATAGGCATTATTAAGCTAGAGAAATTTCCATAGAACAGTATAAAATTAGTATGTCCATTTGCATTTTGGAAACTATATAGTTGGAAGGAGATAACATAATTGGTTAAATATTGGTAAAAGGATCCAAAAAAATATATATTGGTAAACATATGAAGTCACTACCATGAGGTCTATCCAAGATGTTACAGCTTGATCCTTTATCAAGAAATAAGTATGTATTACAGAATGCAGGGTTTGGTCAAGAAGTATATATTGCTGGGTTTAGGAGCTTGGTCTAATTTTATATTCAACAAACAATTCATTTTTCGTTGTTAAGTCGTATTTAGTTTTGTTCTTTCCTACGGTGTTATATCCTATAAATATATACCAAACTCTACCATAGAGGACATACTGATTATATGTATTATTTTGCTTGAGCATAACTTTAATGAGTTCATCTCAGCAGGAAACTGGCAAGATTGCAAATAAAAGCAGCATCAGTATTTCCAAAGTTCCCATAAGACTTGCTAAGATTTTCTAAAAACAACTTGCTAAGATTTTCTAAAAAAAGTATTTCTAGCTGTAGGACAATTGACTTGAGAGGGTGCATCTCAAGTCATATTCGTGGATCATGAAAAACTTGCGTATTTTAGGGTGTACGACATATAAAACTAAATTCTTGCTTTTGTTTAAGTTCTTATTTCTTTCCCCTGATTTTAGTTTACTTTTTGTCTATTTTAGTTTAGCATTGGTTTTGATTACTATAGACTCTAACTTCTTTTACCTTTGTTCCAATTCTATTTCAATTTTTCTGTCTGTTCTGATGTTTTTACCTTCTGATCCTATGATCTTTCTTTGTGCATAACAACAATTTTCTGAGCAATTTGGAACATTTACTCAATTAGGGACTGAAGGATCATTCAATCCTACGATCTGGGTTGCAATTTTAACAGCTATGGTTGCAATCGTAAGTGTTTGGGTATTAGGGAAAAACTTTATTGAGTTATCATTTATTTAAAGTATTATGTTGATCAATACCCTAAACGATTGTGTAAAGATGCTGTCTATTATTGAAAATATTATCTATCTATAAATTTACCAGAAAGTTGATTTGGTTCCAGTTTTAATGATGCCCTGTTTGCTCCAAAAATTATGGCTGAATTGTGGATTCGAGATTTTCTTCATATTTCTCCTTTAAAGAATTGTGGGGGAGAATTTGAATTGAGTTTTTTCTGAACTTAACCATTTAAATTTTTATGTTCTTTAATTCAATCGTTGGAGTTGGAGTGAAGTGCTTTTTGTCATTGGCTTTAAATCCATTAGTACTTGTAGCTGGTTGTGTTACTTTACTATGTTTTGTAACACATTGATAACTAGGTTTCTTGCTTAAAATAAGCATCTTTTAGTCCAAGTACATTTTTTCAGTTTTTAGGACTTCTTCTGTAGTTGCACATGAGAGAAAATCTATCTTGTTAGTTGCTTATTACTCAATTTTGAGTTCTTGTATTTAAATGTACTTTTTCCCACAAGTTGAAGATAAGGAAGAAGAATTTCAAACTTGCTTTCTTTTTCATAGATTGGTGGCAATTCCTTTTTTACCCCTTTGTATTTTGTTTTCTCATTCTTGTCAGGAGATAGTGGTGTAGCTGTAAATTATGTTATTTAGCATCATTCTCTTTTAGGCTGCTGCTATTCGATCCATGCTCCTTAACTAACTATCTTTGGGGTTTTATTTTTAATCAATTGATCGTCATTTTTTTCCCCAAAAAATAACTGATCATCATAGGTGAATTATGATTTCATGTTTCAGGAATTCTCACCTGGATCAAATGGGCGAATGACAACAATGGGTGCATATGTGCGCGATTTACTTCTTGGACAGGTTGGTTGTACTGCTCTTATGCATGTTTTAAATTTCAATTGAACTTGTGCCATGGCTATAGATTTGGAATGCAATAGCATAAACTAGTTTCCTCCTGCTGTGTGTAAATGTTGCTTTATAACTTCCTTTGACATCTATCTTATACTAGCTATTGTTGTTTGTATATCATTTTCTTCTGATTTGCATGTCATGCATGTTGAAATTGAAGTCTGTCAGAATCATCTATATTTATTTATTTTTTTGAAATTTAGAATCATTTATATTTATATTTGACATTCCTTTTTGTGGAAAGCTCTTGGATTACTGATGTAGGATAAATTAGGCTTAATTTGCCTATGCAGTTGGGATGGACTCGAACATCATATTAGAGTTTCTTGGCCATCACAACTAAACAAGATTAATTCCATTTTTTAGTGGAGAAAGAAATATATTATCTAGAATAATAATTCATTTATAGTTTATTTAAGAAAAAGTAATTCATTTCTAGTAGTATTTCTTTTTTTAATAAAAAATATATATCTTTTTGAGGCACTAATTCGATTAAGACCATTTCAAGTGTCTGGAAAAAGTGCAGGCAATATATTAATTTTCAGACAAATGTTTTGTTTCCCATTAATGCAAGCTTTAGCATATGGTTTCTTCCTTGCTAATAATGCCTTTTAATTAGTTACTTTGGTATTTTGTTCAATAGTATAAGAGATGCCATCAAATTCTTAATGTTCAGGGTACATACTATATCCAGACTTCGTTCCATAATGTCTCAAAACTTAAATTTCTTTTTTTTTTCGCTTGGTTTGAAGCTAGGGTTAAGATTGCATATTTTGCTTGGTAAAGTTTTTTTAACAATGTTGAACTGCTATCGAGAATTGACCTCTTTTGGGATTGGTTTTTTTCGTAAAAGAAAATATTGGTGAAAGTTGGTGATTGTTCTAGCTATTGTTCTGTATCAAAGACATAATTATCTTCTTCTCTTTTTGGTAATGGTTTTTAAGACTATGTTACTAGTGAGAGTTTGACCTAATTATTTATCTTTGTTGCAGTACTACTTTGATACTCTTTTTCCACGTATTCCTGTTCCTATCTTGCGGCAGATTGTAGCCAATCTTGAAAAGATGAAGTTGCCTTCCAAACATTCTGGTGTAACTGGGGATACCAATAGGCATGGATCTGATGATACGGCCCGTCGACCACCCTCTGTGAAAGCGGCACTTTCAGTTTCATTTGGACAGCGTGCTCCTCATCGTGCATCAACTAGGGACTCATCTCCTGTTCGTCGTACTCTGCCACCACCCGCTTATGATAGAACTAGTGTGGATGATCAACGAAAATCTCCAAGTAGTCGTCGGAGCCAGAGTCGTGACTACTATTCTGATAGGGAAAATTCAGAACGTGATCGGGAACGTGATCGGGAACGGAGCCGAGACCAAGATAGAGATAGAGACAGAGACAGAGACAGGGAGAGGGATAGAACGAGAGATCGAGATAGGGAGAGAGATAGAGACAGAGAGAGGGATCGAGATAGACATGGAGACAGGGATAGGGATCGAGACAGGGGCAGAGATCGTGACTGGGACAGAATCAGGGATAGAGACAGGGATAGGGAGAGGGAGAGAGACAGAGAAAAAAGGTATGAGTCTGATCGGAGGTCAAGGTATTCAGAAAGAGAAAGCAGAAGGGATTACGATGATGATAGGCAATACAGAGAATCTAATTCCCGTAGAAGTCGTAGCCGGAGCAGAAGCAGGAGTCAAAGTTTGCAAGCTAGCAACATGCATTTTGATCATCATTCAAGTCCACAGCGAGATGGTGGCAAAGAGAGGACTTCTGCTGCAACAAATTTAGCCAAGCTTAAGGATCTCTATGGTGATATAACTGATACAAAAGGGAATGGTGAAAGTGAGAGGATTCCTAGGCGGGATACCAGTAGCGAAGAGGTGATTAGGCTCGGAGGTTCTAAATGGAAATAGTTTGTCGTGTAATTTCCCCACTTCCTATGTATCATTTGGATCTTCAATTCTGAAAATGATAGGGTTTTCAAAGGTCATGATACATTCATGCTTATTTTTTTCTTTTCTTCCGCCCAAAGACGTGGTGACTGATTGGCTGAAGACATGCGGAAGCACTTGCCGTGTAATTCCATGGCTGTCGTGTCTACTTGATGTTTATTCAGTGTCTTGTTAAAATCTATTGAATGCTATATGAACTTCCTCGTACATAATTGTTTGTGCCAGTTAGAATTTTCATATTTTTGAAGTAGTTGTTTGCCTTTTATTTTCCGATTTCGCAGATGAGTTTTCCCAGAGGCATTAGCTACTCAAGATCCTCTTGGTGATGTGCAAAATAGCCTTTTAAGGACTTATAGGAGATTTAAATGCTTGCTACGAGAGACACTGAAAATTTAAGAGATCTGAGTTTCGTGCTTCAAATAGTTTGACTGGTACTTGTAGTAGTAGTTGTAGGATTTATTTTACTTTGTACATGATGTTGATATTAGTATTTACACGTTACATTTTTTATTTCATGAATGAATTTTTGTATTTAAATTGTGTTTAGAACAAATGAAATTTTGAAATTCTTTTAAAAGAATTATTTGTAAACACATTTTTTTTTTCAATTTTCAAACAAAAATGTGTGTATATATATATATATGTAAATGATTACAAAACTCATTTATTTATTTAAGTGTATTGTAAGTTTGATTTAATCTTTTCAAAAAAATCCAGTAAGCAATACCATTTTCGTAATTTTATTTATAGCTAAAATTATAAATCCATATAGAGAGTGCATTTTTTAAATTATTTTTAGAAAATTTAATCTTAATACTTAAAAGCTAAACTCAAAGATACCTTACAGCTGTTTTTCTAAAAAAAAAAAAAATTAAAATTTGTCCAAAAAATATAAATATAAATTTATGAGCCCGGGAACCTTTCAACCCTAACCCAATATGCACAGTCACGTTTTTAACTTCCTTCGTCTTCCTCTCGCATGCACATGATTCTTCTAGCACCTTCTTCCATCGCCACCAACATACATATCTAGGTAACCTGAACTCTCCTGTTCGATTCTCGCTTGAAAAGAAAAGTAGAGGAAAGAGAGAGTTTTCTGGAAGTTAACAGGAGAAGATGGAAAGCAGTAAAGATGAAATAGTGGACGTGAGGTCAGTGGTTGAAGCTATTTCCGCCGACGACGACTCTATCGACACTCCTCTATACCAGGTCGAGAGTCTCTGCATGCGTTGCGGCGAAAACGTAATTTTCTTCTCCCTCGCTTCTTCCTTCTCTTTGCCGCTCGACCTGCTCATATTTTGTATAAATTGAAGTCAAGGAGTGGAGTAAAATGAGTTACTTGATCGTTCTAGTTTTAGGTTTGCTGACGAATTTGTCGGAGGTTTTCTCCTGACGGATGTTAAAATCTGCTAACTTAATCATTTCCTGTAATGGCCGACGGAAAAGTTAATGTAGGTGAACTGAACTTAAGTGGAATTGAAGTATATTTTCTGAGTTTGATATTGATAAGATTTTCTTTCTCTTTTTTGCATTTCAAGTGCATACATATGGTTAGTGATTCTGAATTGTGAGCTTTATATGCCTCTTTTTCCTGCTTGCGTTTGGCATTCTTCGGAATTCTTATTATTTGTTCAGCTTTGCAAATCCTAATTTACTTGAATTTGCTAAATATTGCTCCCAGTACTTTGAACTTTCTCTAATACCAAGTTGAATGTTGTTGGCAGGGAATTACAAGATTTCTGTTGACGTTAATTCCTCACTTTAGGAAGGTATACATTATGCTTGGTATTTTATCTGGTCTTCTCCTTTGTTTATTGCTTTTCTTTTTCTGATTTTTGCTACTCCACAAGCAACTGTTATATATGGATCTTTCTCCGGGAATCCAGAAATGCTGGCTGGATGTTTCACCAGTACTTTCCCCAGTAGTAGTGTTTGCTTTTGACTGAGTAGAGTGCCCTTATTCTCTTTTCAATTTATGGGAGTAAACAAGTGAATTAAATCTCACTAATATCTCTTTTACATGCAGATCTTGTTGTCAGCCTTTGAATGTCCACATTGTGGTGAAAGGTGATCTATGTTTTGTCTCCTCAAGATGCCAAAATTGTAAACAATACTGATAGAAATTGATTTTTCCTAGAGTCTTAAATTCTATTTTTTCAATGATTTTTTAATAGGAACAATGAAGTTCAGTTTGCTGGTGAGATCCAACCTAGAGGTTGTCAGTACCGTTTGGAGGTCCCATCAGGCGATCAGAAGGTTGTGTCTCAACTGGAATTTAGTGTTCATGAGATTATTGTTTTATCCATAATATTGCATTGCCACTGGCTTGTGAAGAACTTAAGCCTCATGGACCACATGACCATTGGTTAATTGGATATTCTTTTTTTCTTTTTTGCGCAAAAGCATTTAATATTACTGCTGGGAGGAAACTTCATATCATTTAATAGATTGATGAGACAAGGAATTCGTTGATACCTTATTTATAGTATACTTCTTTTCTATTGAAATAGAGGATTCATCCTTTTAGAAGAAAAAGTCATTGGATCCATTGGTATCCACATGATACTATCTCTGACGGTTTGGATCTTTTTATCTTCTCTCCTTTAGGAGTTCGTAATTATATTCTGGGTTCTTGCTTGTATTGGGGTTTGCAATCCTTGGTGCCTTTTAATACTATCTTTTTTTCTTAAAGAAAAATCATTACTTGTAAACAAATATATTCAGTGATGTAACTGCATGGGCCTAATATTTCCTTGGTGCTACTAAAAGAATTTGCCTTTGAATGTTTTCCAATTTTCATTTACTTGGATAATTTCTTACTTCCCTCTTGAAGGTGGAGAATAAATAGTTCCATTGATGGTGCCAAATTGATGTGTTTTTGGGTTTCTCTAGTGCAGATGTTTAACCGCCAAGTAGTGAAATCTGAATCTGCCACAATTAAGGTACCTCTTCACAAAGGAAGGGAATGAATTATCCATTCTGTTTCTTATTTCTAGATTCTTATGTGTGGTATGAATTGTTTCCTCTGTTAATTTCGCTAAGTCTTTTCTTCGCAAGATGATATGTCACTTTTTTATTTTCTAAATAGAAGATGAATATGCCTCATTCTTGCCTGTTGAAGTTAAACTCGATGTTTCATTCTAGTTTTCTTCTTGCTGTGTGGTTCTCATATAAAAGATGTTGAGTTTTATGTTGGTTTTGTCTATTTATGCATGCAGATTCCCCAACTTGAATTTGAGATCCCTCCGGAGGCTCAACGTGGAAGTTTGTCAACTGTGAGTCCTAGCAATTTGCTCACCCACTTTATCTTTTAGAGTTTAACATTATGCTATCCCTCGAATGTTAGATTTTGAAGAGCCAGGACTTGAGAATTACTGCAAAAAACTAGTATGAAAGTGTAGCAGCAACATGTAGTCTAGTAAACAGTGATTATATTTCTTCTTTTATTCACGTGAAAAAATTGGCATTGATTTTGTAGAATAGTCAACCTATGGTAAACTTTAAACAGTTACTTCACTGAGAACTTAGGAGAAGTTGACTGTGGATGTTTGGATTGTTCCTAACTGGTATAATTAATTTAGTTACTAAGCTGGCATCCCATTGGTGCTTCTAGATTTTCTTTTTTCCCCCTTTAAAAAGCAAAGCAAAATAAATTGTCCACATCCTTTCCTTTGGGACAAAATAGGAAGGGGTGTAGGAGATCCAATTCGGGATTGCTTCTTTCTGTTTTAGTTTGGCATGGGGACGTTCATGTATCTTGTCATTCTTAATTCTTTTAATAACAAATGAACTTTTAATGGAGGACAAATCAGATTTGATTCCACTTAAAAATTGATAGATTGAAGGTTTTGGTAATCTATTGATGAGTTTTATGAGCTTCTAAAATCATATTTTATAGATTTTTTAGTTGCTCTATACCACTTGCGAGTTTGTACTATTTAGAGCACATTGAGTCCCTTTGGCTTTCATGGAATGATAGAGTTGGACGTTAAATATTTTACCATATGTTCTATATTTTTCTTCAGGTAATTCATACAAAATACCTTGTAATTATTATCTGTCTTAAATTAGGACGTAAACTTTTGATTGGCTTTTGGTAACATACATGAAAATTGACTCCCAAAGTATTTAGATAGAACACTCGTGATTAATCTAATTAGATTCCTTCTAAAAAACTGCTAGATATTAATTCTCATCCACTTCACATATGCGCTAATTCAGTAATCTTCTATTTAGAAAATCAGTGAACAAGCTAATGAAATGTCAGAAATGTCAGAAATGTATGAGAGTTGATTCATATTGTCTCTCAGCAGAAAAGGAACTGGACGGTCTTAATTTGGGTTGTAAAAGTTACAGGCCCTAAAAATTTACAATTGAAACTGTGAGGTTGAAACACTGTTAAATGTTCACTGCATATTTACTGTACGCCTCTTTGTATTGGTTGGTCTCACATTTAATTTTTTAGGTGGAAGGGATGATGGTACGAGCTGCAGATGAATTACAGGCCCTTCAAGAAGAACGCAAGGCAAGTTTCAATTTCATGGACCACTTAACAAAAAATAGTACCTTTTTCTATATGTTTTGCATTACTTTCGAGTATATCCTTTGTGATGTCCAGAAAGTGGATCCTCAAACTGCTGAACGAATAGACCAGTTTTTGGTGAGATTGAGAGCTTGTGCAGCAGCAGAGGCATCCTTTACCTTCATCTTGGATGATCCAGCAGGAAACAGCTTCATAGAGAACCCGTAAGTGATGATTTAAACAAGAGAAGTGGATTACTTTTCTTAACTTCTGTTTGGTTTGGTATGTAATGCTTGGGTTAAATTGAAGTAAGATGCTGCGTGCTGCATAAATTACTTCTTTGCTCGTCCTATTGTTGTGCCAGCTCTTTTGTGCATGAATAACTTCTCCATAGTTTACATTGCAAGTACACTTTTAGTTTCCCTTTCAAAAATGGTTAGTTATATCCCAAATGACAGAGCTAGTTGAGTCATAAACCAACCCCCTCAGCCGCCAAGATCTGTTCCATAGGTGAAGTTCCATAATGCACATCCCCTTGTGTACTTCCTTTGTCCTTATTCAACTTTTTAGGAGTTTCCTTTCTGTTTTCTTTGTTTCTGGAATATTCAATATCTTGAAACAAAAGCTAGCAGGTAAATGGTGAACATTTGAAAGCTGTCAATGTGCGGAAGGTCATTAAACTTGAATTTATAGGTGCCGTTTAAAGTATTCTCTTTGAGCCAATCTAACTAAAGTGGAGCTCTCCTACGACATTCATTGATCAAATTCTTACTTTTCCTGCTTTCACATGGTTCAAGTTTTTTAATTTGCTTCTGGTCGTGTATCCAATGTTCATTTTATGAAATTGACAAAGAATCAGATACTTGTCCTCTCCTCCCCAAAGGAAGCTGTACTGACACTATAGACATTTTAAAGCTCATCTTGTGTTAATGATACTTTGTTGGGTATGATTTTGAGACATGTTTCTCCCTCTCACTTTACTGTTGAGATATATCACATTTTCACTATCTCTTGCATTTCCATTCTAAGTAATTAAGTGATGGGTAGGGTTACATTTATTGAGATTTTTCTGATTAGCATAACATAGAAAATTTTCAATAAATTAATTGAAGTGGGGAAAAAATTTCCTGATCATTATTGCATGATGGATGTTTAGGAATGACAGTTTTTGCCACTTCCTGGAGATTTTATGAAGTTATTTGTTAAAAGTGGCAAATCTTTAAGATAAAAGGGATCTCTATGCTCACAGGGACCAAATTTTTTTTCTATATACGAAAGGGAAAAACATGGAGTCAATTTGGATTCATTGTGGTTCTTTTGCTCCTATCTTTTGAAGGTGCCACATAACTATAACCTTTATTTTTCATTTAAAGAAAGTATAACCCTGATTTTTTGAGTTTTTGGACACCAGAAGAATTCTGCTCTGGAGAGTATTTTGTATTTGAAGAAAGTGAAGAACTGAAAAATAGGGAAAAATCCTATGAACTTAGTTAACAAATAAAAGTGTAAAATATTTTTGGCTATTTCATTAACTTCTCTTCTTGGATATTCTGTCTTGAAAATGAGTTTATGCTTGGAGCACTTGATAATGTAAAACCTGCTGGTTATGACTTCATGGTTTTTCAGTATGGCAGATGATGGGAAGTAAATGGTATGGGTTGAAAAATGCATGTCCAGGTTTTACTGAATTTGGGCTCCTAACTGGAATGGCTTAAGCTTATAGTTCATGTAACTTTTATTTTTGAAATGACACTAAACTATTTGAATTACTTTGTGCCTAATTGATTTAGGGGAATTAGGTATAATATGAAACAAGAAGACAAGTATGATACGAATAAAATACCATTCATTTGTTGTTTGTGTACGTGGAAATCTTCTTTCCAGGAATATAAAATCAAGTTAATTGAACACTGATCATATGAATTAGGTCTCAGTTACATTTTCTTTCAGTCAGTGATGCTCTATTGTGCAACAGGTTTGCTCCATCTCCAGACCCATCTTTGAGTATCAGGTTCTATGAGCGAACTCCGGAGCAACAAGCAGCGTTGGGCTACCTTGTTGACTCATCACAAGTGGAAACACCGGCTGACGGATCATCAGGAGAAGCTATAAGCAATGTAACCGATCAAACAAAGACGCAACCACATGGATCAGTTGGAGCAGCAGCTGGTCATCGAGCCATTGCACAAAGTAATAGTGCTGAAATTGCAGAAGCTTTGTTTCGGTACACTGCACCAGAAGAGGTAAAGGAATTGCAAATGTTCTTTCTCTGTATTTATAGTTTCTGATAGCCATCAATTGCAATTGTTATCTCTATTTTTATTCTGTATTGGTTTCTTTTCTCAAAACAGGTGATGACATTCCCATCGACTTGTGGAGTATGTGCTGTGAGATGTGAGACACGGATGTTTGTGACCAGTATCCTTAACAATTATCTTTTCTGGTTAATTTGAATCTTATACTTTCTGCTTTGTTTTTATTTTGATAAGTGTTAGTTTTTTCTTTTAAACTGTTTCATCCCCATGCCCTGGTGTTTCCGGGCCATACGATTGGATATTGCTTCTCATTAGGTTGAAGCTGTCCAGCATGTTAGTTTTTCTTTTTTGAGGAGGAAAATATCAAATTCATTAAAGAGCACCCAAGGGGATGCCTCTTATTGGATTGATGCTAATATGTTAGTTGTTGTCATCAGAAGTTGTTTTTGTTACGCATAACGTGTTTGGGTAGGATGAGCGAATACTTTTATGGACCATAACATATATGTTTTCTGGTTAACCATATACAGACATTCCTTACTTTCAGGAAGTCATTGTCATGGCATCCACATGCGACGCTTGTGGCTACCGTAATTCTGAGGTTAGTTCTTATTTGGACTTTCTGGATATTGGGTTCACGTTTTCTGTCTTTTTTTTGTGTCTTTTTTTGGCAGAGGTAATATGGTTCACATGGTTAAAGCTTTTCACTGTGTTTAAGGACTTCATGGGTCATAAGTAATTGTTAGCTATCTTGAGCAGTTGAAGCCTGGTGGACGAATCCCTGAAAAGGGTAAAAAGATCACTCTATGTGTTAGGAACATTGATGACCTTAGCCGTGATGTAATCAAGGTTAGTTGTCATATTTGATTGAATTTCCTTCGCTACCTTGCTAATTACCAACTGTCTTTAACTATAATGATATTGGGTTATATTGGGTTATGAACTCAGCCAATTTTATGGATTTGTCTTCTTTTCCTTGTACTATTTTTATGATTTCTCATAATATTTTAAGGAGCTTGGATTGTGTTATGTAAAGTTTAAGTGAAGAACTGGACAACATTATTCTCAAAGACAAAAAGTGTAATGAGAAAACTGGAACAACTTTGATCTCACAGGATCATTTTGAAGTCTTGGGCCAAGGTTGTTAGCTTTGAGTAATTTATTCATTGTGCTGGCTCCAGGCAGTTTAGGACCAATCTTTAGTTGTAAGATGTAGTTAAATGCATTAGCATGCCATTTTTTTTCCTTTAATAAATTTAAGGGACATTTTTAGTGAAGTGGCTTTTATCATTTGGAAGCGAGATTTAGTTAAAACTACCCAACTTGAGTAGATTTTGGTTTAAGGTTAGGTTACTTGTTCCTGGATTTTGTATTATACAGCTGAATGAATTAGCCTCTCAAAAACAAAAGCTGGATGGAAGGTTTCGAATCTATTTATTTTTTTAATCTATTATTTATTTATTTTCTATGTATCATTGCTGTTATCTTGGTATCTTGTGGATAGTGCACATAATGATTTGTTTATCTGATATCAGTTAGGATTCCTAAATTTGTCAAGTTTCCTTGAGCTTACACATCTGATTTAATCTTGTGTATCAGTCGGATACAGCAAGTGTAAAAGTCCCAGAACTTGAGTTGGAGCTGGCAAGTGGCACTCTGGGTGGAATTGTCACCACAGTGGAAGGGTTGATTACAAAAATCAGCGAAAGTGAGTATAAACATTTCACATCTTTTGTTTTGTATTTTCTATCAGCTAATTGGAAATGTGATCCAACAGTTTATGCTCTCAGTAGTTGTGATGAATAGTTTAATTAGCTTTCAATATATTTTTTTTGACATAAAAAATATACTGACGTTGATATGTTCAAAAAAAAAATATTTATTGATTTATTTATATATATATTGATGTTGAGCTTAAAATTCGGAATTTTCTGAAAAAAAAAAAAAACAACGGGAGGGTTTTGCTTTGTTCATTTTAGCATAATTAATTATAACTGCTACTTGTATTGAATAATAAGAATAGATAGTTTTAGACTTTTGATTTTTGTTGGTGGGTTACTCTCCACAGTAAATGTAGGATTTAAGGAACTTTTTTGATAAGTTGATAGATTTGTAAATATTTTTGCGCATGGGTCACGATCCCCTTGGTGCCCATAGCAATATAATTCTTTATACTCTTTTTTTTTTTTTGAGATAGAAAGTAGAAAAATATATTAGAGTAGGCACCAAAGGGGTGTCACCCATGTACAAAAGATTTACAAATCTAAGAGTATATCTACAATGAAACCAAAATCATCAAGGTTACAAAGGTGATGTCCCAATAACGTAGACCCAAAAAAGTGGAACCATTTGTCCTTAATGTTTCCAAAAGAATCCTCCTTGTCTTCAAAAGCGCGGTTGTTTCTTTCTTTCCAAAGTATTCAAAAAATTGTAAGAGGGATTAGTCGGTAAGTCTTGTTGCGTTTGCATAAAAATTCCCAAGCATTTAACTCCTTTTGTATAGAATCTACAGAGCTCCAGAGAATGCCAAGGAGCCCCAAGACCATGGACCAAAGCTGGCTGGAGAAAGTACAGTGTAATAGGAGGTGATTGCAGGATTCGGCATCAGCTTTACATAGAAAACATCTGTTGGCCAGGATAATACCTTTTTTCATGAGGTTATCCAGAGTGAGAATCCTTTCCTTGGTGGCTTCCCATGTGAAAAAAGAGACCCGCGGAGGGGCCATACTGTTCCATATCAATTTAGTGGGGAAGTCCAGGCTTCTAAATCTGTTGTGTTGAGTCAAGTGATGGTAGAAAGCTTTTACCGAGAAAATGCCCTTGCCGTCAATATTCCAGAGAAGCTTGTCTTCAGTATTGGTGAGTTTGATTGTGGATAAGAGAGTTAATAAGCTTTCATATTCAGCGATTTCTCAATCTTTCAGATTTCTAGAAACCACTATATTCCAGGCACCTCCATTTTCCCTATCAAAAGCATTTTCGACCGACATTTTATTGTCTTTGGCGATGGCATAAATGAGAGGAAATTGATGTTGGAAGTTTGAAGCGCCACACCATTTATCAGTCCAGAATTTGCATTTGTTCCCTCTGCCAACTGCCCAAGAAGAATAATCCATTACCAGCTTGTTAATGGAAGAGATGCCACTCCATAAGCTTTTACCATGAGTAGTATGTTTTCCTCTGCTTCGAGGGTGGTTTCCACTGATGTTCCATTTGCAGTCAACAATTCTTTTCCACAAGGTGTCACCTTCATTCCAGTATCTCCAAATCCATTTGCCATGTAGGGCTTTATTCATGTTGATAAGCGATCTAAGGCCAAGTCCACCATGGTTTTTGGGCAGTTTTATGTCCTCCCAATTAACAAGGTTAAATTTCCTTCTATTTTCCTCAGTGCCCCACAGAAAGTTGCGTTGAATTTTTTCTAATTTGTTTGCAATGCTGGCCGGAATAGTGAGGACCGAGAGGTAGTATGTTGGGAGATTGGAAAGTGTGCTTTTTATGAGAGTGAGTCTCCCATCCTTGGACAGGTATTTCCTCTTCCATATTGCAAGTTTTTTCTCGAAGATATTGATGATCGGATCCCACGACACCCCATGTTTTTAATTAGCACCGAGCGGGATGCCAAGGTATTTAATGGGGAGCTGTGATACTTTGCAATTTAATATCCGGGCTAATTGGACGCCAAGGTCTTTATACTTTTTTTTCAAGAAACAAAAAGAATATCTTCTTTTATGAAATTGTAAGGGGTGGTACTTGATTGGAGTTTAGGCAGGAAACTGACAAAACCTTTTTCTTTTTTTCCTCATTTTATCTTTTGCTTCTACATTATTTATTTCATTTTTCTTTTTCAAATCCTACATGCATCCAGGAGATGTGATGTCCAAAGGTTCTGGCTTTTCTGATTTTGGAAATCAATTGCTTTTCTGAGTTTAGATGGTGCTATCAGTTTTTCATTTATAATTGATGAGAAAATATCATTTAGATATGAGTCCAGATGGAGTTAGTACATTTGAAAAGAAAAGAAAAGATAATTTGAATTCCTGAGGTTAGATGGTGTTGACTCAATTATTTTAATTTGCATACAAAACTTTTTCTTTTCTCGTTTCTATGACCACAGGCCTTGAGAGAGTGCACGGATTCACTTTTGGAGATAGTCTTGATGAACATAAAAAGAACAAGTGGCAAGAATTCAAAACAAGATTACAAAAGGTATACATGATTGATTGGAGAATCAATCAAATTTTGTAAGCATTAGCTCTTAGCTTTCTTAATTCCATTTTACGGTGTATAAGTCTGCCTAAAAACTATTTCAAAAAAGAAAGAAAAAAGAAAAAAGTCTGTCTAAACACCTTAAAGACTGTATTGATAGTCTTGGTAATGAAATGGGGTAACCATAGGCTGTGGTTCTGGCCCATCTCTCTTAAGTATTTTGTGTAGGGGACTGCATGCTATGACCCAAACATTTGTGGTTGAGCTCTTCTGTGTTTCTCCAAAATGTGGGCTGCAATCTTACATTGATTAGATAATATCATTGGACCTTGTTTAGCTCCGTTTTATTGGTGGTTCATTTTCAACAGCACAATCAGCTAATGTGTAATATGCACTGACCTTCATATAAGATTTGATCTGGAACACTGATGGTAATCATGGGTAATCTGGTTCCTACAAGTCTCTAGTATAAATGCGGACCACCTTTGTGCTTAATTCAAATGGTGTCAAAGGCATATTAACAAATTGAATCTGCATTCCGTAGGTCTTTTAGATGCATATTGACGAATATGCTATCCTCATTTTACTCTTATATGTCTTTTCTAAGAGCATTGTGCAAGATAAAAGACCTTTGAGCAATTATTCGAGATCTTCCCATTTTCTGAAGTAATGATCATGTCATCTTTTGTCAAGTAACAAACTGCAAATTGTTTCTCTAATTTGATTACCATGTTTGGTTGCTACTGATAAAATTGTTGCAGGAGTTTTTCTGTACAGATATGAGCCATAAAAAGTGCTGTCATCCTGGTGTACTCCTGTTCTAGTTTAACCCAATCTTTTTGTTGTTTTGTAGCTTCTGAGTTTGGAAGAACCTTGGACTTTGATCCTTGATGATGCATTAGCAAACTCTTTTATTGCCCCGGCAACTGATGACATCAAAGATGATCATCAATTAACATGTAAGCTTCTCTTTTCTCTTTCTGCTTGTTGTAGCAAATTTGGGAAAATGTGATGTGAGAGCAAGAGTGCATATCTTTTACCATGTTGTTGGGAAGGTGTTTGTTGTTGGTTTACTTCGGCTCTGATACAGGTCAGCTGCATTCAATTTACTGTCTTTTCCTTTTTATGAGAATGTGGCATTGCATTGGTTTCTCTTCTATCTCAAGTTGAAACAATGGTGGGGTCAGGGTGGACCGCCTTTTAAGTTGGTTGTTGACTTAATTTTCTTCTTCTAGCCTGTCACTTATCAGTATTTCATCTGACAACCTGTGTTACAACTGTAAGAGAGGATAGGTTTACCAGTCCTGTTTACCATCATAGGACACACAGAAGACAAGGCCAGACTTTCATATAAAATAGAGGCAGAATTGGTTCCAACCACTGATTTGGTTTCGCGTTAGGATTCTAATCTAGTAAGATGTACAAAAAATTTTGTGATATATCTCACGTATCTTAGTATTTATATATTTCATGTTAGTTTTTTTTTTCTTTGGACAAACTACCATTTTTCTTCTTGATCTTTAATATATTTAATCATAAAGGATTTTCTGTTACAATTCCATGTCTGAACTTCTGATTTTATTTCGAACAATCATTTAAGTTTTTTATTTTTCTAACCAGGAGAATGTTAACTCGTTAGGCAGTGCTTACGGTAAGTAGAAAATGATCTTTTACACATGAATTTACATATGAAAACATGAATTAGGTCAAGATGAGGGAGAGAAGAGTATTATGTGAATCATTAAACAGAAAATCCAGAAAAGCAGAGGAACACGACCAGTGATGATCACATCGAAGGTAGGAGCATGTGGAATTGCCCAGCAGCAAAGCAAAGGGGGCTCTACTTTTAGTGGAGGAGAGGGGAAAAGTGTGTGAAAGGAGAGAGCCACATGTGTGAAGGAAAGAGTTGACGCAGACCAGGTGGTTTCAAAGGAACAGATTGGATTGATTGTGGAGGAATATAGTCTCATCACAGGAAATGTTTTTTTTTTCCATTTGGGGAGGGGGGCGTTGTGAGAGTGAGAAAGAAAAAATAAAATGGGATTTAGGGTTCATTGAGGAGCTTGATTCGAAGAGAGCCTTTGAATAATGCAGAGATAGTAGAGGATTTGATGGAAAATTGCTGGGAATCAGGGAAGGGAGGGCTTCTTCTTGGAGGTTTCTTGAGGTTGACTGAGAACAGTGGGAGTTGAAGGGAAGGAGGAGAGGGGGTGCTTTTTATTCTGAGTCTTCTTCTTCTTTGAGGAAAGTCCGCAATGATCTGTAGTGAGAGAGGAAAGAAAAGGAGAGTGTTTAGGGTTGGGATTCCTCTCCTGAGTCATTTTTCTGCAAGTGAGAAAAGGAACCGAGGAAGAGGTTGTTTTGGGTTTCTGTGAAAGCAGAGAGGAGAAACATCTAGGAATAGTGAAGAGAAAGGAAAGAGGAATCGGTGTCTTGATCATGATTTTGGATTCAATGAGTAAAAACGATGAAAAAGTTTCAGTTTGTTTTCTATTGCCTAGAGTTGTCACTTTTCTGAAAATTCTTTCCAGACTCCTCTTAATCTCCAAAAAATCTCTGGATATTTGTGCCCTAAACACTATAAATCTTGTAGATTTTCATATTTGCCGTGGACCCTAAGTCTGATCTTGGTTCTGCTTTTTTGTTCCAAGTTTCTAAACAACGTTACCAATTTGAAACAATGCAGAAAGTTTGGAGAGACTATTTTGTAATAGAAAATATTTTAAGACTAAATTGTAATTTGTCTCAAAGTTCGCGGGCTAAAATGCTAATTTGTTCTTTTTATTTTTACACTGGGCAGGAACTTAAGGTTTGGATTGTTAGGACAGCAAATCGTAGGTTGTAAGAGCCATTGCTCCATAAGTAATCTGTTTTTGATTAAAGGCATCTGAAAAGTGCAGGACCTCTCCCTAACAAGATCTGTGACTAGATCTAAGATTAGGGACCAAAACGATCTAGCTCATGTTTTTTCCCAGATATTTTTTGTGCTGTTCTTTATTCTATATAAGAATTGGGAGGGCAAATTCCTAGTTTCCATCATTTTTTCTTTCCTAGATTATTTTTCTGTATTAAAGAAAGGAGGTTTAAATTGGCACTTCAGGGATTCTAGTACTTATTGCTACTCGCTAATAGATTAAGTTATTGGTGCTATGCAGTCGAGGAATATGAGAGGTCATGGGAGCAAAACGAGGAGTTGGGTCTAAATGATATCGACACATCTTCAGCAGATGTTGCTTATGAGCCAAAAGATACAACCAAAAACGAGATAAGGGAAGCTTAGATTACAGCAAGGTATATTTATTCTTGCAAAATACGCATTTGTTTTTCCTCTTTATTTAAATTTTTGTAAACTAGGAAGGAGGAGCACGTTAGTTATTGTTGGGAAAAGAACACATTTTGCACTTGTGTTGTAAAATACAAAATTTTTTAAAGAGGTGAACTTCTGTCAACAACTCCGCTCTGCATGGTTTTTCAGTTGCACTTAATTCGAAATACCATGTAAATATAATCACTGCCCTTTAAACCAGACAAGAGTTGTCATTAGCTGAACTGTTTTAAGTCCTATCATTGGAGTAGCTAATAATTTCATCAATTACATAAATTAGCAGGCATATAATTTCGTCATGCCATTCCATTCCATTTTATTGTTGTTATAACTTACAGTGTGATTGTTTTCAAGTTACTTATTCTTCCTAAATGAAATAATTGATTTTCTTGCCTGCTCCCTTATTTGCTTGCTTGCTTCAACTGGGAAATAATAGCAGGCTAGCAGCACTTAATTTTCACTTTTTTTTAATGGGCCAAGGTGGCCAGCAGCACTGTCATTTCGATGTGGAGGGGTATTAAATCCCCTTCCCTCCCTCCCCCTTTCCCCATTCCCCCAAATGGGCATTCGCTTTTCTCAAAAAAAAAAAAAAAAAAAAAAAAAAAAAAAAGGGCTATGAAGATAGAAGCCCCATGCTTGTATTGTAAAGAAGTTGAAAATATTTTCGAATTTGACCAACTGGAAAAAGAAAAATCAAACATTTTGAATCTAGATACCTTCAGGCACTTCTTCTGTTGCTTGTCTCTCGCCTTACTCTTTCTATGGACTGCTCGAATGGTAATAGGAAGTAAAGAACAGCAATTTCTCGATTTAGTTTGTGGTTATGAAAGGGTGAAAGTTAAACATATACTTGTCTTAGTATGCTTATAATAATTTATTACGAAGAAAATCAATGTTGCCTAACGAAATACAGCTTAAAAACCGGCATAAAGCTACAAGAAATAATTGTATGGACCTCCCAAGATTTTTTCTTTTCAAAACATAACTTTTTTATGTAGAAAAAAAAAAACTTGGTTGATAAGTATCAGATACAAATTGCCAATAACCCAAATCTCTAGCTGACGTAAGCTTGGTATGTCACTGGGCTATCCAAGTGGTGAATTCAAGCCTTTTCTGAGCTCTTCTAAGGACTAAGCCAAAAACAAAATAATAATAATAATACAAGACGAAATCCCAAAATTTTCAGACACAATTGATACAGAATGTTAAGGCACTTTGAAGGAGAATGGAAAGGGGAAATCCAAAATATTAAAGAGAAAAAATTATCGTTCCCGCATTTAACATTAACAAGATCCAAGTTTGTATTAGAACATCCTAGAGTACTGTCATACAGGTGAAACATAGTATCATTAGATGAATCATGTATTGACCTTGATCACATGGATGGTCTTCAGTGGCTTCCTGTAGTGTCCCCAACCATTTTTCTCTACGCAAAGATTGGCAACCAGGGTGAAGAACAACAGTTCACTTGCCTTCAAGAAATGCCAACATCCCTGTAATAAACTCAAGAATCCACCAAAATTGCCATCATGAATTTTAGGACTGACTATTGATAAATGGAAGAAAATTATTTTGTACAATGACCAGATTCCCTTTTGTTCTTGTTAGTAAATCTTAAATGCCTTGGATGGTCACTCTAGATTTTTCTTCAAGGAATAGTTAAAAAAACCAGCTTTTTGCCCATTACATTGTAATTTCTCTGACAACTGAAGGAGAAAAGACATTCATACCTGTTGGAACCTTGTTGGAGATCTGCAGTTACCTACTCACACTTGATGGAGTGATAAATGTGACGAACAAAGAACAAAGCAGCACAGAAACCAACTGCCCCAAGCATGAGAAAGAAACCATAGCAAATGCAGGCCATGTACCCGAAGAAGAACGAGGTCTGCATGAAGCCTGACATATCTGATCGTGCATAATAGTAGTACAAGCAGTACGCATATATGAACAAGCCGGTTGACCCACCACATAAGAAAGACCTATTTGATTGGAAAAAAAAAAAAAACATGTCGAAATCAATGCTGTCAATCTTCACTAGGTCCTGAGATCAAATATAGGAGCTTCACAAGAATTCACTTGAGTATACAAAGATTTACCATTGGAGCTTACTCCACGCCAGGAAGTTTTCATTGCAAAGAAATCACATCAAGATTTAGATTTTAAAAGGGAAAAATGGCACGACGATTGACAATGGGCTATGCAAGTAAAACAATAGTAAGAAAAACTGACGACGTTTGGAAATGTGGAGTCAATAGGACCAGCAAGAACCATGACAAAATCAGATTTTTAAAAGAAAAAAATAGAACAAAAATGACAAGCCACAGAATATGGGTAGAGTTCAATATATATGCACTATTGCTCATCTGTTTCGAGAAAATGAGAAAAGAAAGGATCATACCTCCACCACCATTCATGATCTTCAGCAGCAAGTTGAAAATATGTCAATGCAACTGTGATGAAAGCAGTGACAATCAATAGGATAATGAAAACTATGAACAGAATGCTATATATGGTGTAGATTCTGTGACCCCAAATGCTGGCAAATATGTAGTAGAGCTCAATATAAATAGCACTAAATGGCAGAAAACCAGCCATCGCCATCTGAGGCAGAGTCTTCCGGTACCAAGGCAAAGGTGGAATTTCTCTAGGATATTTTGTGGTGCGACAAGGAGCTTGAAACTCTGCCTTACTATTCTTCCCAGCAATCCCACCCAACACTAGTAAAGGTGATGTTACCAAAGTCCATATAAGAAAAATGACCACAATTGTTCCAAATGGCAATGCAGCAGTGGCATTATACGCAATTGCGACAGTGTTGAGAAAGCAAAATGTGAGAAAAAGAGGTCCACAGAAAAGGCTTCCAGTCAATAACAAATTCCTCACCTGCCAAGCAAACAAAATTTTTTCTCAGTATCCACTCATGATTATAAGGATTTGACAGGGAAGAAGTTTGTATTGGAAAAGGAATTGCCCCGCTGCAATTTGGCATAACATCATAATAGAAAGAACACACGGACCAGCACTTAACACTGCATCATGCTAACTAAAAGGCTTTATCACCAAGCAAACTTTTAAATTGATTGAGTTTTACCAAAGCTAGGAAATTATAGTTTACATTCACGTTTGAGGAATCCATTATTGGTCCACTGCACGTTAATAGAGAGAATATGACTTGATTGTTCAATTCTTAAACTCCTTCCAAATCCAAACCACTTGTCCACAGCCAAGGGCACTTGGGAGCATCCCTGGCACATGCCAAATATTCCTTGCACTAATTACAGTACTAGAAACAGGTTTCTTCAGCAATGAAACTTAGGTTGTGATTCCAAATACATTCATGCCATTGTAAAACTTGAAAACAGTACTTGGATACATGCAAGGTGAATCAAAGACAGGTGACTCTAACTAGAATCTGATGAGAAAACACTCAAGAATAAATCAATACCAGCACAAAAAAGAATTGCATACCCAGTTAGTTCCTTCTAGCTGGCAATAGAAGGAGGCAGCTGTATAGCCTGCTATCCCTGAAGTAAGTGCATATATGACAACTAGTGCAGTAAACAGAGCTCCTCGGTTATATGGATAAAAGACACCAACTAAAGCAAGCATGAAAATGAAAATTGCACTGCAAATGTACGCAAGCAGACATATTAGCAAAATGATAACAACTGAAGGTAAGAAGTAAATTAGACAGATGTAAAAGTATTTCTTCCCAAGGATGCTTACAGAGCAAATAGCTGGGTGCCAGAACCCAGTGCTGCAGCTATCAAAGATTTGTGCTTTGGATACCTAAAAACATCACCATGAATGTATTTCCACCCAGTCTCCTCCTGATCATCAGCGGTTTCTTCATCATGCGCATACCTAATGGAAAGTAAAAGTTTAAATATGAAGGACTAGGCAAAATTACGACTTACATGATATACTTAAAATGTAGAAGGTTAGTAGATTCTTACTTCACAAAATCATTCTTTAGAACTCGCATGAGAATTGTAGCAAGGAAACCAGTCAAGAGAAGAACTGTCACACACGAATTAATTATTGAGAACCAATGGATTTCCAAGTGATGCGGCAAAGAGGAAGAATGTGAGTACTTCTCCATCCTCTTCTCAAAAGGAGTATCAGTTTCCTTCCATTTAACCGTGTACAAGAAATCCACTTTGACTTCTTTATTCTCAGTCAAGTCCACTAGGGCGTGTGGATCAGATTGTACATTAATTTCAATAACGCGATCTTTATTGTAAAAGATTTCAAAGTGAAGATGGTTAAAGAGGTAGTACTTGTAGTCAATGGGGTCAGTTTTGCCTTCCCTGTCAACCTTTCCCAAGAAACCCCATATTGGTAAGTCATCATAGTACATTTGGAAGTAATAGTCTCTTGAAATTGCCTTTCTGAACTTAGCAATATCTTCCTTTTTCAACTTTGCCTTGCAAGCAACTTCTGAATCTTTGTCATTCAGAAACTCTAGTTTGTAAGGTGCACTGACTAATCGATCTCCATTCAAAACTTCACCGAGGGCTTCCTTTTTTTCCTTGGGAGGAGCTGTAATGACATATCTTACTAAATGAAATTGGAATACAAACTCTTAGAAGAAAATAATTTTTAATGCACACAAACCTGCTGAACAGAAGGGAAGATCATAATAGCGGTATGTTTCGCTGTTGAATCATTTCAAAGAACCACGTTAGCCCATTATTATGATTAATGACTTTGCATTCAAGGACTAAACAACTAGGTTACTACTACTCATTAGCAATAACAATTAAAACTAAGAAGCTAGAGAATACACAGATATAATAACCATCAAATCTTACTGACATATACAACATGGTGAATTCAGTACATTCTTACGTTTCTTGTAGAAATCAAGATCCAAGTTTGGCATAAACAGCAAAATCCAAGAAGCTTAGCTTTCTTTGAGGAAAGATCAAATCCTAATGATTCAAGCATTTGAAGTTAAAAAAAAAAGGCTCGCATTTCGCCAGGAAAACTAGCAAACTACTTCCACGGAAGCATAACGGTTACAGAGCAAATCAAATAGGCTAGTTCAAATTCGGGCTTCTCTAAGACCAATTGAGATTTAGAGCCTAGCTTGCTATACTCATAATCCCTATGATCCGATCAATTCCACATTACATAAAAGATTTTACCAATTTCAAAAAATCAGAATCCAAATTACAGTCGTTAAAAACTAAAGCCCATGAAAGTCAAATCCCTGGTATTTTCAGCTCACATCTCATTTTCTCGAATTGCAAAATGATATCCCAACTTCCCCAGATCCAAACAAAGAAACAGTAAGAGCAAGAACTTTCCACGCCCTAATTTAAACTGACTCCCCCTCTCTCTCCAAAACAAACGCGCGAAATAATTGAAAAATCAATTCGGATCTCACGAAGATAGAAATAGAGACTGAGAGCACCTGGGGTTGTGGAAGGGGCCGACTTTGTTGACGTAGAGAGGAACATCATCACCGGACTTGTACCGATGATCAGATTCGTCAGATCTCACGCAGGTGACGCCGCAGCAGAGAAATACTACAGCCACCGCAAGCAAGCACGGCGATATCTTCTCCATACTCAGGCTCGCTCACTGCCGCAGCCACCAGCCGGCCACAGCTACGACGAGAGAATTGTTAGAGAGGAAAAGGAAGAGAAGAGAGAATTTACAGAGGGTTCATCAATGGAAACGCGATTTAACGAGAGAGGGAGAGTGATTGAAGTTCGATGAATAGAAAAAAAAGAATTTATGGAGAGAGAAAGCAAAGTAGTAAGAGTGAGAAACACTCTCATAACCGACATGTGTATGCTTAAATGCCAAGCCTAATGACTACTCGGCTCCAATATTTAATTTAATTTACGATAAAAAGAAAAATTAGAGTTCAAATTTTAATATGTAAGTATGAATTTTTGTTTTTATTACATGTTATTACATTTCGATTTTACTCTATACAGTTAAATTTTTTGTTTTAAACTATAATTTAAAAAATTTAATTTACATAATTATAAAAAAGTAAAATATAAAATTTTCATATTGTATTAAATTATTTTCAACAAAAATATATAGAAAAATATTTAATATATTCGCGTGCATAGTCAATAATAATTAAATTTGTTACCTATTATTTTAAACGGACAATTTTATTTTATAAGATAAGTAAATCTTTTTTCGTTTTAGTATAATTAATATTTTTTTAAATAATTTAGTTATAAGATTAAATATATTTTTTTTATACCTATGAGGTAATATTTTTTTTCTTAATCAAAATGTTGCTTTCCCCACCCAATTAGGTAAGGTTAAAATTCTCCTCTTGTTATTTAATTTGGAGTTGTCTTTCCAAACCCTACCTAAGAAAGTGTAGGTTGTCTTTGAATTTTTTTTTTTTTTTGTACATTTAATTAAAACTGATATTATTGCCATAGAAATTTGATATATTAGAAATTTTTGAGTAATTTTGTCCCCTTCCAATATTTTTGTGTGTGCTTTTTTAGTCTCACACCAAAAATAATATATTTGTGTGCTTATAAAATATAAATATAATTTTAAGCAAATTTTATTGCTAGAAATTTCTCCTTGACAACCTTAACAAAAGCAATCTTACTTTTTTTAGTCACATGGTAATGAGACTAATCCTTCTTCTTCTGCCATTTAATTTTTTTTCTTCTTCTAATAAGATAAAAGTAACTTATTTTTATTAGCGTAATTATTTATTTCATTTTCATAAGTAAAATTTAGATAAAAATAAATTATAAATTTAAATTATATTTCAAGAAGTCATTTAAATATTTAAATTATTTTAAATTTAATGAGATTAATAACAAAATATCACTATAAAAAATGTAGAGTTATTATATCTCTCATTACCCATTATCTACTTATAAGAACAAATTGGTGTCTACTAATATTATGTAATGGTGATTATATATTATCTTTATAAACATTAGAATAATTGTGAAGTATTATGAAAAATAATAATGTAATAATTGCCAATTTTATCATTTGTTTAACAAAATTATAAAGTTGTAGCCTTTAGGATTTAGTGTCCTTTTGATTTCCTCATATATTGTAAGTTGACAAACGTATTGCTTAATTTTTAATACAACATATCCTATTTGGGGGGGAAAAGCTACATGGGAGTGAATGAGTGAATAAGAATGTCATTGTGATGTGTAATTGAGTCAATGAAAATGCAATATCACAAGACAATGTGGAAAATGGCTAAATTCTTTGAATTATTCTTCACGTTATAATTAAGTTAAAAAAGTTATTATAGTTTAATTCTTATTTTATAATTTTTTTCCGAATCCATAATATTTTATACAAATAAATTTAAGGAACAAAAATTTTGTCCGAATCTTGTTTTTACTTGAGTTTGGAAGTAGCAACTAAAGATTAAATTTAATAAAAATAAATAATTTATTTTATTTAATTAATACAAACGAAGGTAATAGAAATTAAAAAAAGTTTAAACTCTAACAATATATTGATTTTAAATCATTTATATATATTTTTGA